ATTGGGTAAGTAGTAATTATATCACTTTCCTTTCTGGAGGCATTCGCAATACGTGCCCAAGCCGTTGCAGGCGTGACTTTTCAATCTGAAGAAGCAGCGGCGTACAGCAAAGCTCTCTCGCATATCTGTACTCTGAATCACGTCGATGGGCATGAGCCAAACGGCTGGTTATCGAAAACCCGTTTCAGCTGTATGATCCGGGGATCGAAGATTTTCAGTCATGATCGAAAACTCATGAATGGAAATAGAGATCGACGTGAACATCGGGAGTTTAGTCTTCAGACTCAGCTCTCTTTTAGCTACAATGGTTCGGGCTAGTTCACACAGAAGTTACTGGCTACTCAAATTCGCCGGTCGATTTCTTCTTCAAACTTCCTATCACTAGTAGACACGACTCCGAGGGGACTTTTCCACCTGTTCCACTGCTTATCCGTTTACCTGAAGAGAGCAACGGACAGGAGAACGAGAAAGCACTAGGCGTTTCGTTTCAGAGCTAAGCAATTTAGCAGAGCTCACGACATTTAAAGCGTCGTTGGGTGAACACTGAATTTTTACATACCATGCAACTTCGTTACAGAAAGCAAGAAGAAGAAAGAGGATAAGCAGCAGACATTAAAAAATTTATCAGGATACAAAGAACGTTGTTACGGAAACGGCAGAAAACACATCTGAAACGAGGATTGTGAAAGTCGATTAAAAATCAAGAAAGGAAATAAAAGAACTAATGAAGAAGCGAAGACAACAGTAGATTTGAAATCAAATACTGAATACGCGGGAGTCTGCAAAGCGTTCATGACGCTAATTAAAGAACGCGCCTGACCATTAGACTGCCGAATGATAAATCAAACCAATGGAAACAACCAAAATATGAACAAATTAAATCAAAGTGACCATCAGGAAATGATAAATTTTAGCTGTCAAAACACAACATGTGATTTTAATCATTGACGAACAGGTGATTCTAAAGAGAACGACAGATTTCGGTAGAAATCTGTAAATAAATGAAGGCAGCAACACCTTCAGTGACGTCATTTGCTCTAGGCGAATTCTGTGGAATGGTAGCTGAACGAACACTATAGGGTCTTTGGATTGCATACACATGAAGGTGGTTACCGAGTCAAATGTTGATCACCTTAAACAGTCACTGTTAATCTGTTTCTAGACATTGGCAATATAAAGATGCATAGCGTTCCCTTACTTCCTGAAACTAGTACACAACATATCAATATCTAGAGCATTCATAAGTGAAATATATATTTCCATGAGCAGTTATAAAAAAATTAGAGGTAACAACATACTAGAATGAAAACAGCATTTCAACTGTTAAAATGGTTCGCATCATAAAATTTTAGTTCTTAATCGTTAAACAACGTTTGTCATGTTTAAACCGAGCAATCGGATGCCATGGTTTTATTTTTTCTACATGTATAGGAAAATACAAGGCGAAAATGCAGTAAAATATAGCATATGCAACGTCGAAAGCATTAATGCTCAGTTTCCACTATGATACATACAGAACAACCAACGTAAATTCAGCGCTAAGGCTGTTTCTTCCCATCCAGTTTTTTTGTATGAGAGCAAATTCGATAACCCATAACAGCATCAGCAATACATTATACGACACATCAATATGTCAATTTTAATCGTTTCATGTCATTGCTGTTATTTTTTTCTGCCATATCTGTATATCGGATAGAAGACCGAATTCGACTAAACATGGACAGCGAAATGATGATTTCTCATTAAAATCAAAATTCGCCCACCACTCTCAATCACTGAACTTATTCTGGATAGACAAGGAATGTTACAACATTGTACTATTTTTTAATGCAGGAAAGGAATGGCTTGGTGATATTGTTTCAATAATGGAGAACAGCCGGGGAGTTCAAGAGAGAGAATCAAGAAAGTTCTAGAAATCATCAAGTGTGTTTGAATAAAAACAGTCCGTCACCGGACACTGAGCAAATGGAAGAATAATGTCAGACGTAACGCACTACGCCTTAGATATTTGCGATCAGACGTACAGACAAATTCAGTTGTTATGTACCTTTATGTGCTAAGTTAAAACGAAGAGCAATTATTAAGATAATAACATAATTCTGAGCCACTTGTGATCAATGAAGAAATAGCACAGATAAAACTCAGTTATCATCTGCAACGTGTTACATTTTCAGTAATGATCATATATTAGGTATAGCTATTCTTTCTACCATGTATCAAGACGGACACTTCTAGAGTATTATTAAGTGAAGAGGATATCTTTCTCAAACAGCGCGGAATATGCGAATGTTTTCCATTCATTCTCTTCTTCAGTATATTGCCTAATTTAGCGGATGGTCATATTTATATTGGATTCACTGATAAGTTGATTTGATATATTTCATAATAAGTACTGCAGTTTCTTTCATAATCAGCCTGTATCCTGATGATAGGCAATTCTAATACTATTCGAAATGTCGAATTTTGGATGAGGTCAACTGACACAACGTTTCTTCGCCAGTTGATCCATTTTCGTAGCTGAGAAAAAATCCAACATCTTAACCCGTGAAGCATACCTGA